CCCTTAGTTTTGGATTTTTACGTGCATATTTCTTCTGACTAACATGCTACAGGTTCTTGTTTGTACCACAACTTTGGCGTGGGGTGTTAATTTGCTTGCTCATGCAGCAGTCATAAAGGTTTGTCAAGAACTATAATGTTAAAACATGTTTCTCATTTTTATATTTGTTCCTTGTTTCATCACTAGTTTCACTTGTGATCATGACCTGTTTAAGGGCTACTAGTGGAGATAAAGTTGAATAAAGTCCTTAGTTTGGATAACCTTCTTTGCACTTGGGTTGCATTTTCTCTAATGGAATCTTTTGACTTTCTTTTTTCCTTTAAAGAAAACTAAAGGAGTTCACTTCATTTCACCTTATCCTAAAAATTTACTTTTTCCTTTTAGATGGGTCATAGTTCTCTGTTTCTTTAACATCTACCTCTGCTTTAAATCTGAAAACATTTTGCAAGAGTAAAATTTTGTTTCAATCTGATTGCTTACGGTTTTGACTTTGATAACCAATCTTTTGGAGGCTGTACAGAAGGGTCCTTTCTTCTAAGAGATGGATGTTGCAATACAAACTTCCAGAGCATGATGATCGTAGTTGATAACTTGATAAATAAATGTTATGATGGCAACATTACATTGAAACATTAAGTTAAGAATGGGTTATTTCAAGAAGAATTCATTCATTTGTAATTATCCTTCAAAAATCACCTTTGAATTTTATAATGTGTAAAATAGTAAAACTTTTGGTACAAAGGTATTAAAAAAAGGATCATTCGGTCGCTTCAGTTTATGGCAGAAATTAGGAGAAGTGCATATCCTAACCTTTTGGGCAAGCTATATTTTCCTTTGCCTTGGTGGTCAAATTTTATCTCATGATTATCTTCTTCCAGGGTACCCAGTTGTATGATCCAAAGGTTGGTGGGTGGCGTGATCTGGGCATGCTTGATGTTATGCGGGTACTTAAGACTGGGTACTGCTGAGTCTTAAGTATTGTTTCTAAAATGTGCTGCATAGGTTTTAGCTTATTGCATGACCAATTGCCCCTCTCTCGATGTCTATTAGATCTTTGGAAGAGCAGGTAGACTGCTGTTTGACAAAAGTGGTGAAGGCATCATAATTACTTCATGAATAGCCCTCTCCCTTTCCATCTTCATCTCCAAAATTCACAAGAAATAGAAACCCTACTTATTTCTTTACCATCCCTCATTATCTTCCCCGATCTTTTGATGCGACGATCGCATGCCCGCAGTCGGGTAAATTCCAGTTCCAATTCAAATTCTAGTTCTAAATCCACTGGCGGGGAATCGCCAAAGATGGACCAAATCAAGTTTCAGACTCGACTCAAAACGCGATCCCCTAATTTCTTCCCTCGGAACTCCAAACAAAGTTGAACGAGCACCCCATCGATCGTGGTCGCAGCTGTGGCAGTATTTCTATCTTGCTCTGGTTTTATCTATTCGTATTCACTACGAGGACCCCGAGAAGCATCGGATTATTATGGACGGTGGTAGTACAGGGGCCAGGTTCCATGTTTTTAGATAGAGGGTTGAGGGAGGGAGAGCGGTGTTTGGTTTCCTGGAAGATGGGTTAACGAGTAGGAGGGTTATTCTGGGATTGTCAGCGAACGCGAGTGATCCGAAGTCGGCACGACTGTCGATTATAGGGCTTCTGGAATTCGGGAAGGGTACTGTGCCAAAGGAGCTATGGGCAGAGACAGAAATAAGGTTGATGGCAACTGCTGGGTTGCGACTGCTGGATATAGGGCGTGCAGGATGAAATTCTGGAATCCTGTAGACGTGTTTTAAGGGCATCTGGGTTTAAGTTCCATGATGATTGGCTGTCGGTGTTACAGGTATTTTACTGTATGACCTACCGTTCTTTGTTGTATCTTATCTATTTGTAGTTAACTTTGTCCAAGAGGAAGGTAGAGAATGTACCGTGGTTTGAGCAAATATTTTTACACAAAGTGGAAAAGATGGACGTTTCAAAGGATTTTGCCATGTGTTGTCAGCTGGTGGAACTTTGATGAATAGAAGACTCAAAAGAGAAATGTGGCTTTTAAAGAATTTTTTTTTCTTGGTCTAGGTAAGAATTGCAACTATATTTAGGTTTTTTTTTTTTTTTTTCCGAACATTGAGGGTGGAACTCGAAACCCACACCTCAAGTTAGTATGAGAAAGCCTTTTATAAGGGGTCAGTAGCCATTAGACCACAAGGCCGTTCTTGCAACTCTATTTAGTTTAGGGCCTATTTGATGCAGCTTGTTAGAGCTTTTATTTTTTTTTTGTACTGTTTATGAGTGATAAATTTAAATTTTTATTGAAGGGAAAATTTAAAAGTTGTTTTTAGAGATAGAAAAAAAGTGAGTAAAAAATGAGTAAAAAAAAATTTATGAAAAGTTTGAATTTGAAGTTTTTGATCTTTTACTGTTTATGGTCTTTTTAAAGTTAAAAAAATATTTAAAAATGTAAGTTTTTAGGAGGGAAATTTAAACTTATGAAACATGAATAGTGTCAAAAAGCTGAAGCACTTAGGAAGCTGCACCAAACGGACCCTTAGTATCACAAGATTTTGGAGAGTATATCTGCAGTTTACCATCCTTGATATCAAGGATTGGGCTGGAAAATGTTGACACAAGGATTTTGGCCCATAGGAAGATGTTGATGGTTTTCAACTAAAAAATGTAAATAATAGAGATAAGTGGAAGAAGAGCCTTTCCAAATGTGCAAAGGAGTTTGTGATGAGAGCCATTTTGGAGTGAAGAATTCTTTTTT